TTGTGCTTATACAGCAAACATTTTACTAACTGATCATCTCTCTAGCCCAAAAACCTGTTCCTAGAGAGAAACTGCCCCAAGATTTGAAAGCCTTTCTCAGATACACCTGACTTGGAAACTAACATATGGATGGTGTTTCAAAGTTCACCGGAGTGACAGCTAAGGCAGCATTCCTTACCCATCGGAGGCTTTCTCTTCCTCCTCGCTGGCGTCACTTTCCTACCTAACTGTACTCTTCTCAGAATCTGTTTCTGGCCTATGCTCTTGAATTCATTTTCTTACATTCTTTAATCCCACACACTCTCCCCTAAACAAACTATTATACAAACCAAATACATTATATTCAGAAAAAAACATTGTACTGAATTCCTGTTTTCTTATTTATGTATAGTTTGTTCAAAGTACCTTGGAAGCTTGAGAAAAGCTACTCTCCACCCCTGCCCCTCCAAATCATACCAAAACAAGCACAAAAAAGGAAAAAGGAAAAAAGATTTAGATACGAAAGCCTGGAGCCCGACAAAGAGAGAAGAGCCTGCTGCACTGGAGGAAACCCAGGCAGAAGAAAGTCAAAGCAACAGAAGTGTTCTCTTGTCAGAATTTCTTTCTTGCTGACCCACAGCGGGAACTCAGTAGTTACCCAAAAGCTGTCTGCTTTAGAGAAAATAATGTCACCTGCTCAACAGTAAAAAGATCAACAGGGGCAGAAGTGTGGGATGTGAGGAAGCAAAAGGGTGTGATTAAATAATGGTCCATGGAACAATCAATGCCCATGTGTACTTCTTTAGTAATTAAGACATTTGGTTAAATATAGTAAAAGGAAGCAACCTGGTTGTGCTAGTGGCCTGATTATAAGTGTCTGGCTCTTGCTAAGCAGAGACTGGAGTTTCTAAAGTTCCTTGTTTCTGAATGTCCAATGCCATCATTTCAGTCACGAGATTAAGAACCGAACAAGAGCAAAGTCCACCTCCTCTTACTCATGTCACGTGATTTCAACAAAACTTTTAGGGAAGCATTTCACACCAAAAAGTGGAAGAAAATGCCAAGCATGAGGTAATCCATCCATTACTTCTTGTATTTTCATTTTAGTAAGAGAAAAATGAGCAATCCAGGTATTTAAGGATTGGATTCCTGCTTCATGAAACTGTTTAGAGCCAATGCAATAAAGTTAACTTTCATTCCCTACTGTTAAAACAGAAAGAAAGAAAGAAAGAAAGAAAGAAAGAAAGAAAGGAGGGAAGAAAGAAGGAAAAGAGGGATGGAGGGAGGGAGGGAGGGAGATGTTCTAGGTTTAAATTTACTCTTCCTAGATATAAAATGCTAGATGATAAATTATAATTAGGAAATGAAAGATACAGACAGAATGTGACAGACCCTTAACTGAACTACCTGAACATTAAAAGATGGAAGGAAAAATCAATAATTTCCAACAGCACTTTCCATCATTAAAAAAAAAATGAGACAAAACATTGTAAATGTGTGGGGGGGAAAGAAATTCTTGTATTTTCTTAAAAGCATCACTTATCTTCTTTATTAAAATAAAAACCTAGTCTCCTTTAATAAAGTCTCTCCTCTCTCCTCTCTCTTCCTCTCTCTTCCTCTCTCTCTCTCTCTCTCTGTGTGTGTGTGTGTGTGTGTGTGTGTGTGTGTGTGTAACTTGTTCTCATCCCTACAAGGGCATTATAAAGACAATGATATCAACCCATGATTTCACAGCTGCTGCTTCTACTATTTGGTATACTCTTTTGATCAAATGAAAGCATATCCTAAAGTACTTTTAAAATTAAAAGCTAATTGGCAATTAAAAACATGCTTCTGTAATAAGTTCAGTAACACAGTCATGTTAGCAGCCATCAAGTCCTTATAGAGTACAAGATTCATTTTTAAAGGTTTACTTTTCCTTTAACCTTAACCATAATTGTAACAGTAAGAAGAACTAATCAGTTAGAGCCTTCATGAAGTTCTGTCTTCAGTTTCCCCCTAGACACTTAGAAGAACACTGAGCTGGTAAAGAAATCACCTAATTGTCTGGGAGAACAAGATGAGCACAGGGATTCTGTGAGAAGGCTATGGTCACTAGACGGCAAGGCTAAAGTATTCCAAACCTCCTGGTATATTTGATAATAGCTGAATACTTATGTTACATCTCATCTCCTCAGTCTTCAAGAGCCCATTTTTCTCTGTTACTGAAACCCACTAACGATTTCTAATGTGGAAAATCACTAACTAGTTCACTGTCGATTTCTGTGAGAGTGATTGGCAACAGCAGCTGAGATACAAAAATCATTCTACTGTTAGTAAACACTTATTTCTAATTACACACCCCCTACAATCTATTCTTTAAAAATAAATGGCTTAGGCAGCTAGAGAGATGGCTCAGTGATTAGAAGTGCTTATTGTTCTTGCAGAGGACCTGAGTCCCAACACCCACACCAGATAGCTCAAAACTGCCTCTAACGCCAGCTCCAAGGGACCCGACACCCTCTTCTGGATTTTGTGGGTAATGCACTTGTTGGGGTTTGAATGAGATGTCCCGGTAGTCTCTAGTATTTGAATGCTTGGTCCCCAGTTGGTGTCACTGTTTGGGAAGGCATGGCCTTGTTGAAGGAAGTATGCCACTGGAGGTGGGCTTTGGGAGTTTAAAGACTCATGCCATTTTCAGTGCTCTCTCTCTCTTTCTCTCTTTCTCTCTTTCTCTGCCTCTCCCCCTCTCTCTTTCTCTCTCTCTCTGCTTTGTGATTGTGTGATATGGGACTCCCCTCTGTATGTTATAAATACCATGAGTTAATAAAGAATCTGCTTTGGGCCTATTGCAGCACAGAATAGGGCAAGGTGGGAATCCCAAGCAGATAGAGGAGAAAGTAGGCAGAGTCAAAGAGAAGTCATGTAGTTGCTTCAGGAGACAGACACCGGACGCTGGACAGAACCTTACCGGTAGGCTATAACCACATGGCAATACACAGATGAATAGAAATGGGTTAATTTAAGGTATAAGAGCTAGCCAATAAGAAGCATGAGATAACAGGCCAAACATCATTGTATATAATACAGTTTCTATGTGATTACTTCAGGTCTGGGTGGCTGAGAACGAACAAGCAGCCTCTACCTGCAGTTGTGTTTGTGTAATCCCCAGCTTCCTGTTGTAGCCACCAAGACTGCAGCTTGCTGCTCTCATTCCATCACCATGAACTCTGACCCTCTGGAACCATAAGCCCAAATAAACTACTTCTTCCATAAGCTGTCTTGGTTGTGGGGTTTTATAACAGCGACAGGCAGTAACTAATAGCCTCACATGCACATACCAACATATATAAGTAATCAATTAAAAACAAAATAGATCTAAAAATGGCTTAGGATACAAATGACTGAGGAGTTCCTACCATGTCCGCTTTCCTGGTTAATGTACAGCACTCTGAGGGCCTGTCAGGAGGAAACTCTATGGAGGATATATTGTCACTTTATACGGAAAGCAGATGGGCTGTAAATGCCTGTGTTTTTTCATGTGGTCTAACATTTGTAACATTCAAAAACGCTAGTATATACATTTGTGCTTGCACAACCTGACTATTTAACACATTCTTCACTAACCAATGCAAACATTTAAGGAAGAAATAAGAAAGAAACAAAGAAACTTGGGAACATAGATCTAAACACTCTACAACTGACAAATTAATCAGCCTACATTTCAGAAGTCTGTTCCTTAATTACCAAATAGGCATTGGCTTAAAACCCATAATAGAAAATGACCTTTTAAGGTGAACCCAAAGAAAATCATATAGTTATCCTCCTGGATATTGGAAGTAGACAAGATTGCCAGGCAAAACTTGGGTGCATGGGGGTGTGGGGGAGTGGATGTAAGGGGAGATGGGTAGAGAGAAGGGACAAGGAGGATTCGGGAGAGCTTGGGGGAATGGGATGGGTGGGATGGAGGAAGGGTGAATATGGGAGCAGGGAAGTAAATATCTTAATTAAGTCAGCCATTTTAGGGTTTACAAGAGACTTGACTCTAGAGGGGTTCCCAGGTCCAAGGAGAGGTCCCCAGATTGTTCCTTGGGCAGCAGAGGAGAGGGTGCCTGAACTGGCCTTGTCCCATAGCCACACTGATGAATATCTTGCATATCACCACAGAACCTTCATCTGGTGATGGATGGAGATAGAGACAGAGACCCACATTGGAGCACTGAACTTAGCTCCCAAGGTCCAAATGAGGAGCAAAAGGAGGGAGAACATGAGCAAGGAAGTCAGAACCACGAGGGGTGCATCCACCTACTGAGGCGGTGGGACTGATCTAATGGGAGCTCACCAAGGCCAGCTGGACTGGGAGTGATGGATCATGTGATCAAACTGGACACTCTGAATGTGGCTGGCAATGTAGGCTAACTGAGAAGCCAAGGACAATGGCACTGGGTTTTGATTCTACTGCATGGACTGACTTTATGGGAGCCTGGTTTATTTGGATGCTCACCTTTATAGACCTGGATGGAGGGGGGAGGACCTTGGACTTCCCACGGGGCAGGGAACCCTGACTGCTCTTAGGACTAGAAAGGGAAGGGGAAGTGTGTAGGGGGAGGGAAAAGGGAGGCAGGGAGGAGGTGGAAATTTTTAATAAATAAAAAAAATGGTTAACATCCTTAATTTCCAAGGCAATAAATATTTTTCAAGAGCACCACAAACCAGATAAAATGAAAAAAAAAAAAGAAAAAAATGACCTTTTTACTTTCCCTTTGGTTAGAAACAAACAGTAGAGTACAGGGGTGACAAGGAATAAAAACAAGGTGTGGGCTGTGTTTTCTAAGGCACAAAATGTAGCCTGACATCAGTGCCACGCTCAGCATCTTCAACGCTGACCAGCTCGGTCAGGTCTACATCCACCACAACTCACTCACGCTACTGACGCCAACCTGCCTCCTGCCTACCTCTGGACTTCTACAGGACGCAGGCTGATGTCTTATACACAGCAGATACTCAAAAATATTTGTCTTATTCTTTCAAAATGAACTTACCCTTCGAAATGACACAACATAAAACGTGTCTCCGCGCCTGCGGATGGCTTCGAAGAAGCCTTGGTAACTTCCTGGTGAAGCATAATACACTTGCAGCTCATTCCCGGAATTCCTACTAACGTGAGAAGATAGAAAATACCATTAATATTCAAACATGTTGAGTCTTCCCAATTCCTTCCATTCTAATTCCATTCTTAAGAATCTCTTTCAACCAAAACAGTAGTACTTTAACAACAATTTTTACTTTTTAATCATTTGTTAATTGGCACATATTTATGGGGTACCATATAATGTTCAGCTACATTTGACTTACGCAAATGATATGGTCTTATTGCTATTGTTGCTTGGGGTGCTGGAAGATCAAGCCTAAGGTCTCACGCCTGCTGCATTAACCTGCTCGGTTCACAGCACAGGTCAGGAAGTGCTATGATTACAATTCTGCCCCACTGCAGTTAGCCCCTTAGTCCTGACTTTCTTTCTAAGTTACATTCGCCTGGATGACATCTGAACTGCTGGATACTGCACTCTCTGGAATCTCTCAAAATCTTTTGTAGTACTATGTAGTAACAAGAGATTTTTTTTTTTTAAGGTCAAACAGGGTCTGAAGTCTAGTTCTACCACTTAGTTAGCTACTTTGAAAATTATTAAAAACAAGCAAAAAAAACAAAACTCCCCACCCTTTTCATATATAAAATACATTTTTGAATCATTATATAAATTTAAAGATAATATTATATAAAGCACCCAATCAGGGTGGACAAGATGGCTCATCAGGTAAAAGCACCTGTCACACAAGCCTAATGACTGAATTCAATACCCAGAATCCATACTTTAAAAGCTGGCATTCAGGAGGCAGAGGCAGGTGGACCTCACAGCCAGAGCTACATGATAAAATCTTGTCTCAACAAGATCACTGGGCAAAAGTTGGGAGCATGGGAATGGGGGTGGGATGGGGGGAAGTGGAGAGGGGGAGAGAGAAGGGAGAAGGGAGAAGGGGAGTATTGGGGAGAGCTTGGGGGAGTGGGATGGTTGAGATGGAGGAAGGACACATATGGGAGCAGGGAAGAAGATATCTTAATTAAGGGAGCCATTTTAGGGTTGGCAAGAGACTTGACTCTAGAGGGGTTCCCAGGTGTCCAAGGGAATGTCCCCAGCTAGGTCTTTGGGCAGTAGAGGAGAGAGTGCCTGAACTGGCCTTGTCCCATAGCCACACTGATGAGTATCTTGAATATCACCATAGAACCTTCGTCTGGTAATGGATGGAGATAGAGACAGAGACCCACATCAGAGCACTGGACTGAGCTCCCAAGGTCCAGTTGAAGAACAGAAGGAGGGAGAAGATAAGAAAGGAAGTCAGGACCGTGAGGGGTTGGTCCACCCACTGAGACAGTGTGCCTGAGCTAATGGGAGCTCACCAACTCCAGCTGGACTGGGACTAAACAAGCATGGGATCAAACCAGACTCTCTGAATATAGCTGACAATTGGGGGCTGACTGAGAAGCCAATGATAATGGCACTTGAATTTGATTCTACTGCATGCACTGGCTTTTTGGGATCCTAGTCTGTTTGGATGCTCACCTTTATATACCTGGATGGAGGGGGGAGGTAGAAATTTTGAATGATATTATTTATAAGGCAAAAAAATAAAAAAATTCAAATAAAAATAAATAAAAATCCTGTCTCAAAAAACAAAACAAAAAGCTGAGCAAAGGACACAGCTATAATGTCAGCATTGCTAGAGCAATGTGAGAGGTCAAACAGAAGAATCATCTGGAAGCCTGTGGAACAGCGAGCCTGGAGCTCACAGTGCAACAGAAACAAGAGAGTGACCCTGCATTAGGCAGGAGAGAGAACTAACTCCCCAGAGATTTTCACTTTTCCTCTGACATAATTACACACATATATGAACATACAAAATAATAATTTTTTAATGTGACCACTAAGCAAGACACCTACAAAAAAGAAAAGGCAATACCTCTCTCCCTGAGGCTTATAAAACAGAAAAATCATGAACAAAAAAGCAATGTGCACTTAGGATTTTCAGTAAAATTATGAACGAAAAGCATTCTGACTAAATCTGTATTTAAGAGATTGGGAGAGGTGATCTTTTTATTGGGATTGCTAATTGTTAGTATATGTTAATTTGAACGAATATAAAAGCTGTAGGGGACACAAAAAGGAGGTGTGAATTTCAACTTCACTAAAATACACTACAGTTCAAGTTCTCTGGCCAAGAGCTTTCGCATCTTCTTACCTGATGCTAGTGGTTTCTGTGTACTGGACAGCCATCAGCTGAGAATTTGAGCCCTGTTCCAGAGCACCCTGGAAGAGAGAAGAAGATTTAGGAAATAACAGAAAAAAACTTCCAATACTGACAATACATGATTTGTTATTTAGAATCCTTCGGGTCATACTGTAGGCTGAGAATATATCTTACACAGTCTTATAAAACATTTCAGGCATTTCCCACAAAGTTTACAGAAAGAATGAGAAAGTTCAGTCCAACGAATCTGAGTTTTATGATCGAGCTGTACAAGTATAACTGGGCATGTAACAACTTTCATTTGTCAAAAATCATTATGTTACAAGTTTCTAAGAAATAGGAAAAGCTCAGAACAAAACAAGATTTCCACTGTTAACCAAGTTACACACAGATTCCTCATGCCCAGCACGCCTATCAATTGTATGTCACGAAAGGCATCTAACCCACGACTCTCTCTTAGTCAGAGAACAGTTCAGTGTGGAACCATTATCAGTGACCAACATGTTAACACTAGAAACTTCTATTCCACAAAATGGCATTTGCTCTATCGTCTCTCCTCTTAAATTTTCTGGAACTTTTGTAAGCTGATCTTCTGGAGAGTCTTGTAAGGGTTTCATAATTCAAAGGTACATTACTATTATTCTGTTACAAAGTGACCTTATTGTTACTTTACAACAATTAGTATTTTTGATACATAAATAGTAGCCAAATCATAAATCTCCTGAAATTTATTAATTACTGTGTTCATACATCCATGCTTATATGAAGTATGGCTTCAAAATTAGATATCTGATTTCCTTTAAGAGGCTCAGGGTTTAGACTCTGCCAGTAAGACAGACTTGTTCTAAATATGGAAGAAGAAACCAGACAGTACCCTGTCCCTCTGGCTGTGGAGGCAGCTGATATGCAGTTTAGCAGATCAGTGTGCTCTGCAGTGCTAGGCTAGTTCAATGCCAGGAAGTAGCTTTTGGGCTGCCAGGTCCCCACAGCACTGGCTGGGTCTGCCTGTACCCTCAAGGTGACCTAACAACCAAAAAAGCTGCAACAGTAGGCAAAGAAGGATGAAAAGGCCCAAAAAAGCACATTCAGGACAATCACAAGCACAGACCCTCACAAGTCAGAACTTAGGCTCAACTATACAAATTTTAATTATCTATGGCTAAAAACAGTTGCACATGGTTAAAGTCTGTGTTTCTTGATAACCTTTTAATATAACATTTCCAAATAAACAGTTAAGCTTTGCTTTCCCATGTGTGCTCTCTTCCCTCCCTCTCCCTCCCTCTGTCTCTCTCATCCTCTCCCCAATGCCAGGCAGAGTCTCACTTTAGCCCAGGCTGATCTAGAACTCATTATGTAGCCCAGGTTGGATTCAAATTCATGATAATCTTCTTGTCTCGGCTTCCTGGGTTCTGTGACTACAGATGCAAGTCACTGCCACCATACCCGGCAGTGTCTCTCTCCCTCTACCTCCCTCCCTCCTTCACCCCCACTTTCCCTTTCTTTCAAGACAGGGTCCCACTGTGTTGCCCTACATGGCTTGGAACTCATATAGACTAGGCTGGCCTCAAACTCCCAGAGGTCTGCCTGCCTCTGCTTCTCCTGCCCTCAAAGCACCGGTATGTGAGCACCACCATGCCCAGCAAGATGTTTCTATTAGCACCTAAACCAAACATGCAAACCAGGTGAAAATTTTTAAATCCAAAAATAAAACCTCTTTCTTGTCTCTTATTCTCTACCACACAGATGGAGATTTGTCGACAGTTAGCTCCACTTTTCCATGTTACTTTCCCAAATTCACTTCACCAGGCTTTTGTCATTACAACCACAGTGAAACAGCCATCCTGGCCACCAGTGAGTTCTACTGGGAAGTTTTAACAATAATCATCTTCGTTATTCCCCATTGGCTGGGCTGGGAGCAGCACTGCCCTTTACCACTCTCCATCTTAGTGCCCAGCCCCTATCAAGCGCTGCTTCTGTTGTAGCCCACACGCGGGCAGTGCCCAACACTTAATTTATCACTATTCTCTCTTTTTTAGTTTAACATTGGGAAGCACCACCCAAAAAATCAAACATTTAGCCTCAGCCTCTCTCCTAAGTCCAGACTTGGATATATGGTTGTCTACTGGATATCTTCAATCAATGTCTGAAATTCATAACTAAAGTTCTTGACTCCTGTTTCTAACTCCTTCCTCAGTCTGTGTCTCAGTAAATGGCATCACTTAAGACACAGAAATCATCACCAATTCCCTTTTATTTTATAGTAACAATTCCTTAACAGTTTTACTTTCAAAATATATTTGGATCCCCATCCTTTCCTCTACCTTCATATCTACCATAACAGAACAGACCCAAAGCTCTCTCATCCAGGCCACCAACATGGCATTTTAGCTGACCTACCTACTTCCACTCACACTTCCCTCAGTCTATTTTGTGTGGCAGCTAAAACGATCATTTTTGTCTCTTTGTTTTTGTTTTATGAGACGAGGTCTCACTACATATCTCGGGCTAGCCTTGAATTCAAAATCCTGCCTCTGTCGACCAAGTTAACTAATGAGTTCTACCACTCATAGCCAAAATGATCTTTCAAAAACATAAATCAGATCAAGTCATTCCCCTGACCTAACCCACCCGAGTTCACACTAGAGCCATGCCGTGGCTAAGCTCTCACTCTGTAGCCTCTGAGGTCTGATCTCCACTCCCCTCGGCCTCTCTGCGTCCCCTCCAGTTTTACTCAGCAAATATGCAAACCATTCCTCCTGGAGCCCTTTACACTTGCTATCCCCTGGTCTGGCAACTGCTTCACTGCACTTCCCCCTAAATCCCAGAGCTATGAAGAATTCACAGAAGAGATGAGCTTCTATCCCATCCAGCTGTAAGACACAGGCTATCAGAACAGCTGAATCAATGACTTTGATACAATATCTTTCTAAAGTGGAATTTCTTGAGAAAAGCCTTCTCAAGTGATTTAATCTAAAATAACCACTAATTTCTACATTTAAATTCTAATCTTCCTACCTTAATTTTTCCATAGAAAACATACTTCTCATTTTGAGTGTGTGTATGTCTATATGTATGTATGTATTCCTAGTTCTTCCTGGTTCATTAGCATCATCACAGTAATGTTTATTGGGAAATTAGTGTGTCAATTGCTAGGCTACATGCTTCAGAAATAGTAACAAGTATCTCATGAAAGACAGAAAGATTAAAATGTCACCTTCTGGCAAGCAAAGAAGTAGAACTGGAAAGTCCTAAGGTAACCTGTAGTGGAACATGTCTAAGTTCAAAAGCTCCTCCCTACAATCTGTCATGTGTTTATATCATTCCCTTCGAAAAGGAAGGGGAATAAACATTATTACTTTTTGTACTGCTTGTGCTGATAGAGAAGGGGCTATGGGAGAGAGAGAGCACGTGCAGGAAGGAGCGCCATGCCAGGAAACGCTGCTGCTCTAAGCCCTGAACTAATGTGGTACAAAAGCTGGAGAGGGGTTTCTGTGGCAGTGGCCGCTGCATCAGAAGCAGCCACGGAGAGGAAGGAATAAGGTTTAAGTTCCCAAATCTCCCGCAGAAGAAAGCAACTCCACTGGGAGAAGCTCCCAGCAACTGTGCTGTCATTTCTTCAAACACGAGAAGAAACAAACCTGAAGAATACGGGTTTTCTGTTGGTGATTTGTCATTCGTCTTGATTTCGTCCTTTCTACTTCGTGTCTATGAACCCAGCCTCGGAGCTCATGGTTCAACCTACAGAGCAGATTAATCAAATATATTAACAGAAGTTAACTGTTTTACTCTTTCATTGGAAATTAACTTAAACATTCTGTAGAGCAGCCTAACATACCTGACTATAAAACAATGCTTTCTGGTTTGAAAAAAATTACTGACATTTAATATTGTTTTTAATAAGACATTCATTCTTATAAGGCAACCTTCTCAATCATGAGTTGAAAATTCAAAGAAATAAGGGCAAGCATGTCCAGAACAACATAGTCAAACATTAGATTCCTAATTTGAAAAGAAACAAACGATGCTGTCTGCTGAGAACATTCTACCCCCAAGTTTAGCCTTCCCCTGACTTTAACGTCCACTTCATCCTTTAGCTTTCCAATGAGAAACACAAACCGGGCAATCAGCACATTAAACGGACCTATCGCCACCTCTGCCAGGCTGGTAGAGAAACCAGACAACTGACAGTCTTACAGTACCCAACAAGTCATTCAGATTCTCTTGGCCTCTTAGTAAACCTGAAGAAACTGCTTTCCTAAGTTCTGAAGCCACCATAGGAGGCCATGCAGGTGTCTCTGCAACGACCCCCAACACTCACCTGAGAGATTCTGTTGTATTAATCAGGGGCTGACATGGAGGCGGAGGAATATAAAGCAGTGGCTCTTCAGTTAGCACCATTAAGGCTTTGTCATTGGAAACAGAATGATCATATCTGAAAGAAACACACAGAAAATTTGTTTCTGTACATCACATTTTTTATAAAGTTTACTAGTACTGATTTTTAATTAAAATAAACATATACCAAATTGAACATACTCTGAGACAGAAATGAACATAATGAAAAAATAAAGTATAAATCAGATGGTAGAACCATCACTTTCTGAGCTTCTAAGAGATGGCAGAGTAATTCACACATGCTCAGCTACTATTTCCTGGGCAGCACATAGTCTGTGTCTTCGGTGAATTCAATGAACTCTAGTGTTGTTGGAGTAGAGGAGGAGACACAGTGAAGAGAACTACTACTCAGGGAACGAGCTACCAGTAGACAGGAAAAAAACATTATTGTACGACAAGGCTTAAAGATTGCGGTCATTGCCATTCTGTGATAACAAGTTTGTGTGAAGTGGGGTAGAGTAAGACATAAAACAATTGGCAGGAAAAGTAACAAAGTTGAAAACTGAATAAAACCATTAGAGCCGTGGATGACTTTGAGTCACTAATAAACACTAAACAACAATAACTAGCTCTTCTGTTAACTTGGAAGGTTTGCTTCTGTAACTGTCACACTGCTTTATGTCACATGAATTCATACCAAGGGTACGATGAGAAACAAAACCTAAGTTAAAAATTAGAATCTGAACTGGGTCCATTACCTACTGGTTATTTCCTCAGTCTGTATTTTACTCTATCTCATTAAGAAGTTTTAGATTTTCTCTGAATATTTTATATAAGATGTTCTGAGTTTATAAATTAGATATACTAAAATACAAAAAAAGGAACATACAAAATTGAACATGGTAAGATGCATGCTCTCCATTTATTCATTCAATATTTGCTGGCTACTAACTATGTGCTGGGTAATCCAAGAGAGAGCAAGAGAAGTCTATATCCTCAAAGACCTAACAGGAAGACAAAACAAATACAAAAAAACCCACAAATATAAAAATTCAGAAAAACTGTATTAAGTCTTGTAAAAGAAGCATAGGACTCAAATAGCCAAGCATGCAGCATCTACTTCCGATAAATAGTCTAATGAAGAGATGGTATTAAGTCAAGGCCTAAATGACAAGATTAAGAAGAAGTAGATGCGAGACGGAAGTGAGAAAAAGCCAGACTCTAGAAACAGAAAAGTGCTGAAGAGTTGTGGCAAGTGGGACAGACACAAGAGGAGAAGACAGAGGCTGGGTCACAATTAGGACTTGCTGAATGAAAGAGAAGACACAAAGTATGGAAGTGGCATATTTCAATTTACCCTTGCACCTTGAAATTGTACAAACAATGAATAATAGTCAAACAAGGGAAGGAACAATGGTCCTCTGTGCATATTAATTTTGAACTACTAAAAGAAAAATTCAAAGAGACGACTGGATGTGTAACCACGTATATGAGAAGTCTGACCTGAAAACAGGAATTTAAGAAGCAATCATGTATACAGACATGGAGTCTGTAGCATGGATGAGTCACTTCAGCAGAAAGAAAATAAAGTTGACAGCTTTAAAGCTTGGGATTGGACAAAGAAGAAGCCGACACAGAAATGAGAACGAAAGGAAAGAAGATGGAGTGAGCAGCCATGATAATCTTGTGCATGGGAGGTTGACGTGGGGATACCCCGCTGTATGCTGTGAATATGTTTTATTACCACTGGTTAATAAAGAAGCTGATGTGGCCAATAATCAAAAATCAAGCAAAAAGAGCAGGAGGGAATAAAGAGCAGGAGATAGAGAGAAAGAAGGCAGAGTCAAGGGAGAAGCAAGCAGCTGACAGAGAAGCAAGACGCAAAGTAACAAGCCACAGGCCTCATGGCAAAATATAGAATAATAGGAAGGGGTTAATTTAAGTTGTAAGATCTAGTTAATAATAAGGCTGAGATAATATGTTAAACAGTTCGCAATTAATCTAAGTTTCTGTGTGATTACTCAGGACTGGGCAGCCGGGAAATGAAAGCACAGCCTCCAGTCACAGGAGGTAAAAGCAGGAGGCTCGCAAGTTCAAAGCCAGCCTATGGTACAGGGGCTGGGAAAAAGCTCAGGAGCAGACTGCACTGAATCCCTAACACGACAAAATAAATACAAAAGACTATGCAAAAGGAAAAGTCCTTTAAGGAGTGATTCATTTAACCAAATGTTGAAGAAAGTTCAAGATGAGCGGATGATCATTAAATTTGGCCACATTGAAAACATGTGCCCACACACACACACAGCAAGTGGAAAACTAATTTCAGAAAAAGAGCAATGATTTCTGAGTATGGCACACAGAGGAAAAGAAGTGAGGGCTGAAGTTACATGAGACATCCCCCTCTACTTGTTGTACTTAGAAGGCTCTTCATGTCCTCTCTTCCAGCAGTTAAGATTCACAGAGGTAAAGTGTCTGGAGTAAAACAAATACACAGGCACTGACCACACACAGGAAGAGATATCAGCCGAGAGCTGAGGTTCAACAGGACCTGGTAATGCAACCCCATTCTGAATGCAACTAGGAAGCCGCTGTTGCAACACAAACAGAGGCGCATGCACACACGTGCACACACACACACACACACACACCTGTCACATATGTCATTGGAAAAAAAATCACACCTTTATACTTAATAAGGGCAGGAAGACTGCAGTCCATAAGGAAAATCCAAAATTGCTTTCAAAACTCTATGCTGGCTGTAATTTTCTTTCCATATGATAAACTCTAGTAATGATTTCTGCACACCTATGCTGGCTAATTTTGTTCTTATAGTCAGAAATAGAGAGAAGAAATTTTTGATTAAAAAAAAGTCTGATAGGAGAAACACAAGGATAGGGTGGACAGTGTTGAGGAGAAAAGAAGGGAAAACTCTAAGCCAGCATGCAATCTGGAGATAATCAGACCTTCACTAACCCAAAGTGTGTGCAAACCATTCTATACAAACAGAAGAAATTGCAGCAGATAAATCACTACAGGAAAGTGCAATGTTAGAGAGCTAGAGTTAATGGGAATTCTTGGACTAAAGACAACTTGTGGCTGATGCCTTAAATGGAAAACCTTCCTTTCCTGTTTACTAAAAGACAACTGGCATTTAAGCCTGAAGTCCTACATCTTGAGGAAATAATTATTAAGGACTTTCTCTATATTACTAATATTCTTTCTTACAGGTATCCCAGTTTGACTGATAAATTATACTGCTACAAATACAGACGTGCATATATGTACATATACTTTTAACACTGAAAAAATCTATGCAACTACAACTTGCTAGTGGCAATATGCTAACAGCAAACAAATAGAACATTTAAATGACAGGATTATTTAGCCTTCTTCTAGTTGAACCATAATTCTCCTAAACTGAAACAAAAATGAGGCATTTAAAAATACAGATTATGATAAAGGAAAATTGAACAGCCCATTAATAAGTAAGCAGACAGAATTAGTTATAAAAAGTTCCTGCCCCATCCCAAAAGAACAAAAGTCCAGAGTTAGAAGGTTTCAGCAAACTGCACAACAAGAGCTAAAGTGGGCCAGATGTGGCACACACCTAACACGCCAGCTATCCAAAAGTCGAGATAGGGAGACTGTTAAGTTGAGGCTAGCCTGGCAACTTAATGAGACCCTTTGAAAAAACAAACAAACAAAAAAAAACAGAACAAAAACTAATGTAAATTTGTCTCAAACTAGTCCAAAGAACTGAAAGAAAGGAAACCCTTCCAAAGTTGTTCTATCCTGGCATCAAAGCCCCACAAGAACACCTTTAAGAAAGGAATTCACAGACCAAAATCCCTGATTATCATAGCTATTAAAATTTTCAACAAAGTACTAGCAACTCAAATCCAACATATCAAAAAGAGTATACATCATGATCAAGTGGTATTTATTATAGAAATGCAAGGATGGCTCAATATACACAAATAAAAAATGTAACACACTGTACCAACAGAGTGGAAAACAAAAACTTTATGGTTGTTTCAAAAGAAGAAGAAAAAGCATTTAGTAAAACTCAACATCCTATCATGAAAAAAAAAAGAAAAGAAAAGAAAAGAAAATTAAATGTAGAGACCAGCCATACGGTTTTCTGGTTCCTTCCCCCCATCTCTCTGGGGGCCAAAGGACCATTCATGACTGTTTTACCAATAATCCTAGACTTTTAATCTTAATCATGGTTTGGTTTGCTGTGTCAGCAGAGAGACTTAATATCGGGGTATGGAAACCTTTCATTAGGTATGAAAGAACTTACCTAACACAATAAAGTCCATATATGACAGACCATAGCCAACATCATACTGAATGAGAAAAAGCTGAAATATATACAAATTCTCTAAACTCAGGAGCAAGACAAAGGTTTCTACCCTCACTTACTCAAAATAGTACTGGAAGCCTTAGAGCCAAAAGCAAGAAAAAACAAGAAAGGGCTTCAATTTTTAAAAAAAAAGAAGAAGAAGAAGAAGAAGAAGAAGAAGAAGAAGAAGAAGAAGAA